TAATTAACTAATTAATGAAGGCTTTAGTTCCTGGGGGTGTGAATTAATTCAACTCTTGGTTCAGCAAATAATATGTACCAACTATATGGCAGGCGCTATCCTAAGCATAAGAGATACAGTGGTGAGCAAGATAGACTGAATGACTGCTTGCATAATAACTACTTAAAGTAAAACAGAAAAACAGTTTACATAACTAAGCTAAAATAGACAAAATGAAAACCCAGTAACACAAAATTAAAAATATAAAGGCAATAAAATAATAGCTAAAAGAACATATAAATATTAAATAATAAAAATAAGATAAAATATTTAAAAAAATATTTCAAATAAGTATATAGCAATGGTACAAGACAAACCAAAAGAAAAAAATAGGTTTAACCAAGAAAAAAATGTATGAACTAAATATATAAGCAGTATGGGAATATCGAAGTACTGAGTAAAAGAAACTCTAGTTGTGTTAGCCTCCATATCCTGGGAGTTTGTCATATGCAAAACCACGCTCACACAGGGCATCATACCCTACTCACTCCTGCCTTCCCTACAGACGCCCTGAAGGGATGAAGGTATAAATGGACTTTTGCTTTTAACTCCTTTGGATTACATCATCATTTAATAAACATTTTGTCAAGCAATGAATAAACATGACTCAAAAATCAAACGTTAATGACATACTTGGGACCAGCCCGGTTCTCTTCATCTAAAGTCCAACTCCCCACAGGCAACTACTAATAATCACTTTTATTTTTTGTATTTTGGACAGTCTGTTTATTTCTCCAGAGCCATCTCTCCCCAACTCAAAAGGAAATGAAAAAGCAGAGTGTTTATTCATAATACTTCATTCATTGTCCTTTTCAGTGTCTATGGGATTAGTAGCAATGGCCCGTTTTCATTTCTGACAAGTAATTTGTATCTCTTTCTCTTTTTCTGATTATAAGACCGCTTTTGGTTACAGGAGAATGAGGAGTGTGTGTTCCTTAACATTTGCATGTACCTTCTGCCAAAGGCCCTCCTGCCCACAGACCTTTCTCAGTCTTCTCCGAGCAGCAGTAGCACCAGAATGGGGTTATGGTTAGAACAGTCTTACTTCCCTTCACCTTCTAGTCCAGACCTTACTTACCTTGAGGTGCTTGCTTCTGGTGCCAGGGCCCAGATGCTTTAAGTTCTGGTTACAGATCATTTGCATCCCTAGATATACTTTGGCCCTGAGCAGGGGAGCAGGAGTTGTACATAACCCAGCTGTAGACAGAAGCTGCTTTTTTAGGGACAGATGAGGCCAACTAGCCTCCCACCAGTTAAATATGGCACCATATCTTCTCTATCTACAAAATCTCAAAAATTCCCTATTCCCCCTCTCTTACCCAAGGTGGGATTTGGGCAAATTATTGTTGAAAGCCAATTGTTAGGAACGTAAGCTCCTGAATAGCAAGACAGCTCAATGCAGAGGTTAAGAACATCCTAGAGTCTGGAACTGAGATGGCCAATGCTCAGAAGGGAGCTTCCTTCACTTTGTGCGCCCTCAATCTCTGTGTTAATTCTCTGTCTCCTTATCTGTTCAAGGAAGATGGTAATCGATGAACAACAAAGGATTGTTAGGGACAGTAAATGCATCTCCATATCCTAAATGGATCAAACAGTGCCTGACCCAAAGCAAAATCTCACAAGTAGGTGGGAGTGTCCTTAATTCTACAGTGTGTTGAAACTGACTGGAAAACTGTCTCATTTAGGGCTTATTGGATAGAAAGATTTCAAATTGCTCAGCTCAGTAAAAAAGCACAGAGATCTTTAAAATGATCTGTCAACCAGCATTTTATTGATTTCCTACTGGTAGTCCACTGTGGCCTACTGGAGCTCGGTGTGCTTGTGTGAGTGTGCCTGCCTGCGTGTGTGCAGGTGTGTGTCTGTGTGTGGGCTGGAAGTAGGGCTTGTATGTGTGTGCCATCTGTGGGCTCCAGATTATCTTCCGGTAGTGCTTCACCTGCCACCTCCAGGAGGCCACCTAAGCTGGGCCTTCCTCAGATGGCTATGCCTGCCCCACCCCATCTTTATTATCAGGGAGCCTGTTTCTCAGTGAACTTCCTTTCCATTCATTTTCAAATGACTTTCTGATATGGGCCTTGTTGAATATGCACAAGATAGAGGTCTAGGTATGGTTATGGATGGATTTGCATAAGTATAAATACAGTATATGTACCCATATTTAAGTGATATAATGATAATATTGTGTTGCCACCTCTGAGTGAAAGCTAATTAATTCAGCTATTGAGATGATAATAATTTCTTTCTCAACTAATACCAGAGTAAAAAAAAAAAAAAAAAAGTGCAGCATTGTCCTAGCTCTGTTCCTTTGACTGACTCATCTTACAATAAAGAGTTTTATTTCTGTTAACTATTAAGCTATCAGTATTTCTGGCTATATTTTAAAGGGAATGTTCCTGGGAGAGTCTGAAGATTAGTGGGAAGATTGACTCAAGCAGGCTAAAATAGGTGGTCACTGAACTTAATCATTTGGTGCTAAGAAAAAATATTTTTGCCTTTTTTCTTTTAAAATGCACATTTTGTCCTTGCAGTGTCATTATCAACACTAATATAAAGCACAATCATTTTTTAGATGATGTGATTAGATTCAACATTTAGGAGAAAGTTCAGGTCTTTATGGTAGTTGACAAGTTTAGGGGCAAGTCTGTGACTTGTTAAATCTTTACTCTGACGCCTCTTCCTCTGTTTTTAAGTTGACTTCACTCCCAAACCTGAATGCTCCTAAGTGTTCGCCTTGGTATTCTCACCGTCCCCCTCTAGTCCACCTCTCTGCTGGCGGGGTCTTCTGCCTCTAGTCGTCCTGTTCAGTTGTTCTTTGCATGCCCCAGGGAGTCTCCCCAGCATGTGAGTTTGGTCTGACCCTCCTCTGCCCCAATCTGTTGGCACCTTCTTTGTGTACAGTAAAGGATCCACTGTTTGCTTGGCATTAAAGGGCATTTAACTGTTTCTGTCCCATTACCTACCCTCAGCCATGACCCACCAATTCTCGCCCCTGGGCTACTAGGTTAGCCACTTTTTATGGTTTTTTCTTTCTAGGTTGGGAGGGTTCCTTCTCAATTATATAAGCCTTGCTCCCATTATTCCTCCCACTGCCCAGAATTTGAATCTCCTTTTCCCCTTTTTGAATCCCTGGGCATAACCACCATGACAGTTTAACCTCATATGTGAAATCTCAAGATTTACCTTGTAGTTCGAGGTACTTAGAGGTTGGGAAAAGATAACTGTGCCAGACCTTGATAGATCAGGGATGTTAAAGATGGAGATTCAGCCTAGGCTTATCCCCGATATTACCTGGTCTTTGAAACAACATGTTGGGACAGTCAAAATTTAGAGTGTGAGAACTCTCCCGGGGATGTGTGTTAGGGGGTCCCCTTTCTATCTGTCTAACAGAGGTGTGTTGCCAAGTTCCTAGATGCTCAAGAAGAACAAGTCCTGGGCTAGAATAGCCATATGTTGCCCTCACCAAGGAATTGCAGAGCAAAGTGTACCACCCATGGGAGGCATTCTGTAAAGAGCCGCCTCAAGGGGGAAAGCATCTTATTTTAGAAACTTGATAGACATAAGCTGACTTTTAACAATACCAGGTAGGTAGGGATGAGAGCATAAAAGACATCCCCACCCCATATGTGTTCTTTTCTGATGAACAAACTAACATCAGACAAATTGGGAGGAAAAAGATCAAAATGTAGTAATATGTAAGGGAATGTGTATGGTTGTAAATGCTAAATAAGGGAACAGACTAGAGGTACTTGTCCTATAGTAGGGACTTGAGGCATCAAGAATTAGAGCAAGGTCTTGTCTTCTATGACAGACAAGAAAGATATCACCTCATTGTCACTCTGAGAATAAAGATGAGATTCTTAGAAATGACATGTTCACTGATAAACCTACAACTGGATGAGAACTCTCTCTCTAACTACCTCCTAGGTCATAAAAAGGGGAAGCTGTAATTGCTTCATCCATTAGGAAAAGAGGAAGAGTTAAGTATGTGACAGTCTTTTCTTCGATTATGGAAGGATTTCTGCAAGGACAGAAGCTTCTCACATTAAGGCATTTCTTTGCTCTCAGATGATGACAAGACTCTGCATACCTTTGGGGTGTCTGGAGGAGACCAGTTCTGAGACTCTTGATTTGGGCTCCATCAAAGGCTACTAAATGCTTTTCCTTCCCCTGCCTCCTGCAATCATCTCCGTATCCACTCTGCATCTCCAGAAGAGTCAAATGCGGTGGACAGCCAGGTGGAGGATGAGCAGTAGAAGCAAGTAGGGAAAAGGAGGAGCAGAAGAGAAGCAGTCACACCCCAGCTGCCCCTAAACAGCTTCACTAGAGCCAGCTGTGGCTGGGTGACACCTTCTCTGGGGAGATGTTTACTTTTAAATCAAAGTTGATTAAAAAAAGTTACCACTACACCAGGCTGGACACAGTAAGAACAGCATTGAAATCTTGAAGGTGACCTCACCCTCCCTGCCTGGTAAACCGAAACTCATTTTGCAGGACTTAGCTTATTTCTGAGTCTGACCTCCTCATCTGGACCTGACCAGTCTCCTCCATCCCACCCCAGCCCAGGGGCAGCTTGGAGGTCAGCCTGGTCTTGCCTTCCATCAACCTGGAAGCGGGGTGGGAATGACCTCTTTGCCTTTGTACCATCCGCAGCTGAAACTCACTGGCATATTATCCCCCCAAAAAGAGCTAGTAAAAGCAATGTCTTTAAGAACATACTAACATCTTTCCTAATTGAAACTGCATAACTCAAAAGTGTCTTTCTTTTTGAACAAGAAATTAAAAACAGCAGCCTTCTGGACAACACAGTCTGTTGAAAGCACCTCTGTCCCCAACGTCCTCAAGGATGCCCTGGGGGCTGGGCTGAGCCTGGGTCCCCAGGGAGTGCGAGGCTTCTCTCTACCCTAATGTGTCCTGGAGTAGCAGCTGTTCTTCTTTTACTCCCTCCTGTGTTTGTTCCACAGGTTTCTTCAGGAGAAGCATTACCAAAAACGCTGTGTACAAGTGCAAAAACGGGGGCAACTGTGTGATGGACATGTACATGCGCAGAAAGTGCCAAGAGTGCCGGCTCAGGAAGTGCAAAGAGATGGGAATGTTGGCTGAATGTATGTATACAGGTATTTGCATCATGCAGTTAAATTCCACTAGAAATCTCTCAAGGCAGATGGCAGGTAACTCATTTGATTAGAATGGTACTTGCTGTGTTTAAGAAGGGGCTTACTAAATTATCCACGCTCCTGAAAAAAGTAATTAACACCCCCCCCCCAAATTGTCCATATTGCCAGCTAAAGAGCATTCATTCATCTGAGGGAAGCAATGGCGCTTTGTTCATTGTTGCAGTGACTTAAGTGTGAAGTGGTGTGAACCTACAGTTTCAGTAGTGTGCCTTGAAAAGCTACAAATAACAATAGTCTGAAAGTTTTCTCCAAATTTAATTTAATATCCTTCTTATTCTTTAGTTAACATAAAAATTCACAATTGTAGGAAAAAATAAGAATGCTTTATAAGCTATAACTGCCTCGAAACTGTCTAAATAGAGTTTTAAACCAAGTCCTTTATTAAGATTCTTTCTTCTCATAGTTCAGCTTGGAACCAATTTGTATAGGTTTACACAGGAAATTAACTACTCCAACTTTTAATACAATTTGGCCCTGGGATCTGATAAAGAGACACTGTATTAACTGTTGATTTTGCGAGGAAGCATAATTTTCATTGAAATTTGCAAAGCATGTGAGTATAGAACATGTTAATTCTTCATTCTGCAAACTATAGCCCACTCAAATTCTGAGATATATCCTGTTCATCCTCAAAACACACATGGACAAACAACTGTGGCCGAGGGGATGGAGACATTCAGAAATAAAAGACATAAAAGCCTTGGAAGGTGATTCCGGCCCTGCTAGCCCGAAACTACACAAGCAGTTGGGAAAGACTCAGATAGGGTGGATGCGGGAGGGAGAAAAAACAGGTCAGTGTAAATAATCCAGACCTGGCTGGATAAAAGTTTTATAGAGGCTGATCACAATCTCCTCCTAGCATATATGAAACAAGACACTGCAGCGGAGGGGCTTCTGAAATCCAAGCTGAAATGACACTGGGCAGCTCATATTGCTCATCACTTAAATATGAACTTGTTCCAACAAGCATCGAGGGCATTTTTCAAGACTCCAGCTACAGGAGTTTCCAATATTACATATGAACACAAGCTCATCAACAACAGAGGCAGAGCTTCCCTATGATCCTATTAAATCACCTAGACAAAGAAATTCTTAGAACTTAGTTTCATTAACATTAGAGGGTAAGGAAGTCGAATGAGAATATGGCTGATTTACATTATTTTCACAGCTGTTTGAATATAAATGAAGGATGCTATTGTATGATTATTCATAAGAAAATTTCAGATTCCCCATGCATTCTTTTTACTTTTGGCGATGTGCTCAATAAGTTCTGATTTGTTAACAGGGGTAGTCATTTGAAAAATTAACAGGATTTAAATCTTTGCCCGAAAGTATGTTTACTTACGTGTTTTAGGTAAAGTTGGTTATTACTTCATATGACAATTAGGTGAAAAATCATAGGTGAAAAATATAATTAACACTATGTTTTGAAATATTAACATTCAAGATCCCCTAGACCAGGAATAGGGAGTGTCATTCACTTTTTTGTTGACTGAGTAGCTTGCATTTGTACAATGCTTTGGTGTTACAAATTCTTAATATAAATCTCATTTTTAACAATGATCTGATAATATTTAATCTACAGAAAACCTTCTCAGGCTGATCTTAATCCCATTTTACAAGTGAAGAAAAGGAGTGATGGAGGATAAATTTCTTGTTTAAGGCCAAGTCTTACAGCCTTAGAAGGTGTAGACTTTGGTCTGGTGAGTTGCATGAAAGCACTGAGAGCACATCAACCGTCACATGACACATACCCGCCAGTACTTTCCGAGCTTGGTGAAGCCACTGTGTTTATTTTTTCAGGCTTGTTAACTGAAATTCAGTGTAAATCTAAACGATTGAGAAAAAACGTGAAGCAGCATGCAGATCAGACCATTAATGAAGACAGTGAAGGACGTGACTTGCGACAAGTGACTTCAACGACTAAGTCATGCAGGGTAATAACATGCAATGGTGTCTGCCAAGCCCAGAAGCTGATCTTAGTGACCTGGCTAGGAAAATTCAAATTAGGAACACAAGCAGAATTTCACTCCAGCTGTGCAAAAAAAAAAAAAATGTGTTTCATCAGGAGCATAATACTTGCTTTGGTTTAAAAACTTATGAAATAATGTCAAGCAAGCAAACTTAAAAGTAGAAATTCCATTCCATTTCTACTACTAAGAGTTTATCAGTGGGAATAGTTTGGTGTGTAAAATGAATTTTCCAATCTGAGTTTTATCTCTTTTTATTGAGGTAACATTAGTTTGGAATTCCTTATAGGCATTGTATTTACAACTTCTCATTTCAGTAATTATTTTTATTACAGTGTGTCACACATCAAATGTCCCATCACCATCCACCACTAACCAATTGCCCCTACTATCTATTTTCTCCTCCCTCCTTCTCTTCTATTAACCACTCTGTGTTATCAGAGTCTAGGGGTTTGTTTTGTATTAGACTTATTTTTCATTTGCTATTTTAACTTTTAAATTCCGCAAAAGTGAAATAATATGGTTTTTGTCCTTTCCCTTCTGACTTATTTTACTTAGCATAATCTCAGAGTCCATCCATGTGGTCACAAGTAGTAGCATTTCATCTTTTTTATGACTGAATAGAAGAAGTTCATTCTGGATACATGTTCATTGTTGTTTTGGGCAATAGGTTCTCAAACTAAGCTTTGATGACCATTTATTCCCTGTTGTTGAGAAGGGGGCTTTAACAAGGAAGAATGTTGACTCAATAGAGACTTAATACATTAGTCCTTATCGGGTAAAATACAAGTTGTAGACCAATAGAGAAAAGTCTTTCCTATTAAGGTCATAGATTACTCAAGAAATCCATTGAACCACTTGATACAAAAGAGAGGAGGGGTGTCTTGGGTGATTAGTCAAACACTTCATAATAATACGTAGGACTTTTGGAGTAAACCAATAATCCATGATTATTCAAGTCATGTCCTTCTCAATATTTATTATACTGCAGAAAAAGAAAACTTCATATACACTTAGCTTTTCGAGTTTATTATTTTGTATTCAGAAAAAATAGTTTTTTTTTTTAAAGATTTATTTATTTATTCATACAGAACTGGGGTACAGGCCTGAGTTGCAGGGACAGTGAGAGGATTCACCAGAGACAGAGTGGGGGGCAGAACAGGCAGATCAACGAAGTACACTGCTGCAGGGAGCAGGAGACAGTGAGAGGATTCACCAGAGACAGAGTGGGGGGCAGAACAGGCAGATCAACGAAGTACACTGCTGCAGGGGTGTCAGGAGAGGTCTGCCTTGCCATGTGGTCACACCCCCCCCCCCCCCCCCCCCCGTGCCACCAGGGAGGGCCAGAAAAAATAGTTTTAAAGTATTGTTTTGTCATAGTGCCTCCTCAGTAACACTTTGGTATAAGGAAGTGAAGAACTGACAATTTACACTCTTTAAGAGATACTAATATTGGAGAAAGATGTTTGGCATTTGAATTATCTAAATTGATGATTCTGCTTGAGGAATTGGCAGGTCTGTTTTGTTTGTTTGTTTGTTTTTTGTAAAGAGCCAGATATTTTAGGCCTTGGACACACAGTCTCTAACACACTACTCAAATCTGATGTTTTAATGCAAAAACAGCACAGTTCTTACATAAATAAACTATTATTATTGTGTTCTAATAGATTTTTTTTTAAAGGTGGATTTGATCATCGGGCCAGAGTTTGTTGAACCTGCTCTATATGGATATTCTTAAATGAATCCTCTATTTTACATGTGGAAACTTTTCCTTAGTTATGATTAAAGGCTGAACATTCAAAGAACTCTATGAATAAATTCAGTAAGCTTCATATTCAGAGTAAAGTTTGTTCTAGGAAATATATGTAAAGAATATTTTATTGTCCTTATTTTTCAGACAGAGATTTGGAACAGATTTATTGAAAGATGATATGACTCACCTAAGAACCCTGAGAAATATCTAAGCTAATAGGTCCTACATAACTAGGACATTTTCAACAAGTCCTATTAGTGGTTTCTTCCAGGTGAATTCACAGCTACAAAAAACATCTTATACCCACCCTCCCTAATACCTTTTATTTTTTTGTCAGTGTAGGAGAAAACTGAACTTACCCCAGATCAACAGAATCTTCTATATTATATTATGGATTCCTATAGCAAACAGAGGATGCCTCAAGAAATAACAAATAAAATTGTATGTATATCTGAAAATACAATAGATTAGAAGTTAACATTTTCTGGAGATTTTACTACCTTGGGGGAATGCATTTATATATTAATAAGTTATTTGGAATTTATTAGAGTTGAGAATTTAAGTTACATATTTAAACTTTAAGTACACTAAACAATTAAAGATTAAGAAGTTTTATAGCTATCTTGATCATTCTTTCCAAAGATCTAAAACATGGGAGCTATTAAATTTTTAAATTTTATGTTCAAAGTCTGGTTCTTTAGTCTAATAATTTTGTGTTGATTTACATTCTTATTTACTTATTAATCGTTTTCTTTTTTCTTAAAATTTAGTTAAAAGAAGAATTCAGTGCCGAAGAAAATTTTCTCATTTTAACTGAAATGGCTACCAGTCATGTACAGATTCTCGTAGAATTCACAAAAAAACTGCCAGGTATTGTTACATGTAGTTATTTCTTTGCTATACTGTGCAATGGCGTTATAGCATTAAGAGAGAGACTCTATTCATTGTAAAATGGAAATCACCTCACATCTGACCTGAACTACCATAAACATGAAATGCTAGAGCCAGATATTTCAAATCTTTTATTATAATTCTTCCAAAATTGACAGAATAAGAAATTGAAAGTTTGTAAAGTTGTTATTCATCCATTTACTCATTGATTAAACATTTATTGATGATCTAATCTCTACTTAGCACCTAGGATTACCTCCAAAGAGTGATTAAAGGCTACTTTACATACACATACAGCTACATATATCTATATATGTGTGTATGTGTATGTATGTATATGTATCTATATATGTGTGTATGTGTGTGTGAATAGTTGTTAATTATATCTGAGAAAGACAGGGAGACTTCAGAATCATATTTCAGTTGGGTCTAAAAGAAAAAAGGAGTTTACCAGACATAAGTAAAAGGAGCATTCCAACTTGAGTAATCTCCTTGTGAAATGTAACAAGGCATGAATAATAATAGGGTTGTTAGAGCTGGAAATAAAAACTCATTGTAGCTATAGCATAATGTCTATGGTGGGTTCCTTGACTTAGATGTAAGGTATGTTGGTACCATACTGATAAAAGTTGAATTGAGGGATGGAATCCTTGTGCTGTAGAATGTAATGAACTCTTTGTGACTTTTTTTGTTGAAAGAGGAGCAATGAGACTTATGTAGTAGAGACATGACTGTTTTATAAGATAAATTTGATTGGGGGGAGTGGAGGCAAAGCACATGGCTGGTGTGCTGTTGCCCACCAGAGAGAAGAGGCAGGACTTGAATAAAACAGTAGTAGTGGGGGAGAGATGAAAAAACAGATTAAAAAATTGATAGAACTTCATAAGTAAATTCAGGATGAGGGAGAAGGTCTTTTTTTTTTTTAATTAATTTATTTATGCATACGGTACCAGGATATAGGCCAGAGGAGCAGGGGCAGTGAGAGGGTTCACCAGAGGCAGAGTGGGAAGCAGAACAGGCAGATTGAGAAGTACACTGCTGAGGGGAGCAGTGGGCCGGTCAGAAGAGGTCTGCCACCTCATTTGTATCACCTCCAGGGCAGGGAATCGAACTCATGCTGAAGTGGCTTTAGCTTCTTAGTGCTGTGCTTTAACCTGCTGTGCCACCAGAGAGGGCTGAGGGAGAAGTATTTTTATCCAGTTATTCTGTCAGTGGCAAGACAGAAACTAGAATGCAAGATTTTTACTTATCAGCCCCAAATCCTCTCAGCCATATTGCCAATATGATCTTAGTCAATAGGTTTAAGTTGTTTTGGTGTTTTAAAAATATATCAGGATATTAGAATCTTCAGATCTGGAAATGTAAATAGTGAGGTGACACTGTAATATTAAATTACAGAAAATATCTTCTGACATAGCATTTTAGCTTGTTATATTAATTTGCCCTTGCTGTTACTTTGTTACTGTACCATAGATAGACATCAAACTACATAAAACTCATAATGTAGGGGGAGAAAGTCTTCGTTATCACTGTACCATTAATATTCTTTCATTTCTTAATTAATAATGAAAGAGGAAGTTATTTAGTATATGCTAATTAATCTTAAGATAGTTTTGATCAGAAACAAGATTGTATGAGAATAAAAACCAGTGGTGGGCCAGAAAAGGGAGAGAAATATTATATTTATATATATTTTACTTTAAAGGTTACTTGGTCTTGACTAAGAAGTAACTGAAAACAAAAGCAAGGGTAACACCTCACACAGCACTTCATTTCACTGCTCGGGGCACAATCAATGCTCAATTAGTAAAGTAGAAGGAAAAAATATAGAAGAAAATAAAAGACAAAAAAAACCCTTGAGGTGAAAAAAAATTAATTCAATATTTATAGAAATAACATTATTACAAACAATGATACTAATAAATATCCAGAATGAATGGGTGTTTTCTGAAAGGTCTAGCTGATTCATTTCATTCTGCAATTGATCATAACCTGTATGAGGCACCGTCCAGGGTGCTAGACACTTGGCAAGTCTCCTGCCCTCAAAGGAGTCTTACATTCTATGAAATAGTGATGTTTAATCTTAGCATTGCTCTCTTCTATAAACTCCCATCATTATTTAGTCATTTCCCAAGCCACTGAGACCCTCAAGGCATTAGTTTATTTCTGTTGTGTTTGTACATACCTGTGCCCTGAGCTTGGTTTTTTCTGTTTGTTTTTTTGTTTGTTTTGCCCATTCATTGTAATTTAGTCATTCAACAAATAATTTGGGGTATCATATGTACTAGACACACAGATATAAGTCAGTCAATCATAAAAGTCAATCAAAGTCTCTGCCTCCAAGAAGTTTACAGTCTAATAGAGGTGTCCGACAACTAACAGATATGTAAATAGATCAATAATATATCAGTAGAGGAAAGTTGTATGATTAATAATAAAGCCATAGGGACTAGTGAGCACTGGAGAGTACTATTTTAGATAGTGTCACCTAGTCTCACACCCACATACAATGAGGGTGTGAGACATGGGGCACATTTGCTTCTTATGATGATAAAGTAGGTTTGTGTGTTCACAGCGGAGCCAGAGGTCATAAGGTGGAGTACAATGAATAAGGGGAAAAGGAAGAGGACACGAGGTCAGAGCAGCTTCTGAAGACTATAGCATATAAGTCTGGATTAAGAACTTCGAATTTTCCGGGCAGTGTTATATTTCTCTAGGTCATTGATTCTGAGTATCGCTACTTTGCACAGTGTAGTGTTGAGCTCAGAGAAGGTATCTCAACATGACCTTGATTAGTTTTTTGGGTGGAGGAAATACTACCCATTACCCAGAACCCAGATTGACTAGAATCATAAGTCAAATATTCCTTTAAATCTCTGGATACATGTAAAGATTTTCTGATTTATGAATACTTCATTTCTGCAGAAGTGACCTGAAATACCAGAGGTCACTAAAATTATTTCCCAATGAATATCTGTTTGCCTGTTATTTCTGAGGGTTCCTTCATAAGATGAAGGATACATATATGTGTATATACATGTATGCATGTACATACATATATGTGTATATACATGTATGCATGTACATACATTCATGTACATAGATGTACATACATATACACGTATCTAGATACAGTATGAACTTGATCTCTTTTACTCAACATGTTCAATAAATCCTCCTCAATGAAAATAAAAGCCAACTTCTGTTGAGGGGGAATATAATACATATTACTGGTACTACTAGATTACCCAATCTTAAAAAAAAAAGAAAATAATTTTATGGAAATGTTTTATAAGTGGGAGGATGATAGAGGTGCTAAAATGTTGTTCTAAAACATTCACAGCTTTTTCTTTAAAAAAAAAAGATTTTATTTATCACATAGAAATGGGGTACAGGTCAGAGATGCAGAGGGTGAGAGGATTCACCAGAGACAGAGCCGGGAGCAGAACAGGCAGATAGATGCAGTACATTGCTGCGGGGAGCAGCAGGCAGGTCAGGAGAGGTCTGCCACGCCATGTGGATCTCCTCTGGGGCAGGCAGGAATCAAACTCCTCCGGAAGTGACTTTAGCTTCTTAGTGCAGCGCTTTAACCCGCTGAGCCACCAGGGAGGGCCATTCACAGCTTTTTCTTAATGATTTCATTATCACCTTAATTCAGGATTTCAGACATTGGACCACGAAGATCAGATTGCTTTGCTGAAGGGGTCTGCAGTTGAAGCAATGTTCCTTCGTTCAGCTGAAATTTTCAATAAGAAACTTCCAGCTGGACATGCTGACCTATTGGAGGAAAGAATTAGAAAGAGTGGTAAGTGGTAAAAAGTGGTTAATGGTGAAAAGAGTTTATTTCTGCACGTAAGAATTTGCATGCCATATAAAGACATGCCTCTTACCTATTTTATGCAACATTATATCACCATTGTGACTAGCATGGAGGATAATTTGAAAAAAATATGTGTCGAATAGATGAGATTTTTAAAGCATTGATTAAAAAACCTAAAAAACAAAACAACTAAAAAATACTCTTTTTATTTCACTAAGGATGAATTTTTAAGACTGGAAGATTAGTCTGATAAGAAAAATAGCATTAAAAATCTGGGATTATTCATTAAAAATCTGGGAATCATTTATTCAAAACCTTCAGATGTGAATGACAATGTGTCAAACGGTTATCCCTCTCTCTCCAGCAAGATAAGAAAAAAATAATAGCAGCCACATTTATACATCATTTATTAGGTTTCAGACACTGTTCTCAATACACATATGATTTCGTTAAATTCTTGAAAAAAAAATCCTAGGAAATAAGTATAGCTATTGTTCCAGTTTTATAGGCAAGGAAATTAAGTCTCATAGTGGCTAAATAACTTCTCACAGACAGAAAGGAAGTCTTACTTCAAGAGCATTTGTTTAACCATTGTCCTACACTACATCTCAGAATAGCTCCCCATATTTCTCAGGCTGGTAGCTCATTGACAGTCTTCCTCCTCTCCCTTCATGAATAGAAATCCTGATTAGAATTATGTCATTCTCAATTGACTCTGGCAATGTGGTAACTGACCAAAAACAATGGAAGTCAATTTTCACAAGACTTTTATTTGTTTATATCTTCTCTCATTAGCTTCCAACAAACTGCTCAATGAACAATATTCACAGGAGACACGAAGATGATAATATAAAGTCTCAGCTCTCAAGGACTTCATCTTCTAAGAGGAATAGATATACATTAAAAAAAAGTCACAATAGTGTCAAGTACAAATTAAGTTGAAGACTGGCTGCTATTAAAGGGAACTTAAACAAGACAGAATCTTATTTCAGTCCTAGAATAGACCGCATATTAGGAAATGGTTTTAGAGCAGACAGTACCCCTCTATCTTTTTGCCCATCCAGTCATTCAATGTTGACTTTGGTCTAGAATGGTTCACTATTATACCCGCATGCCAGGCTGTTGGGAGGGCAAACAGGCAAAGAACAGCACACCCTCCCAGTAAGGAAATGATTCAGAGGTGCTACACACAACTGCTACTCATATCCCATTGAGAACTTGACTTCCTCATCACACCTAGATTCAAAATAGCCCGGTGTCAGCTAAAGCACTGTATCTACACTAAAAAGTGAATATCTTAACTGGGGAACATTTGTCAGTTTCTGGAGGAATTTTTAATTATCACAACAAAGGAAGATGACACTACTGATATTGGGTGGGTAGAGCCCAGAGATGCCATAAGCATCCTACAGTGCCCAGGACGGCCCCTACAACAAGGGATTCTTTCGCCCAAATGTCAATAGTGCCAAGATTGAGAGATCCTTCTCTAGAAAAGGGAGAGAATGAACATTGGAGAACAACTAATAGTGTCCTATATGTAATCAATCCTGCTGTGAAGCTTTGTGAAATGTGCAGTAAAGTGGACTTTATAGCCGATCTTTCTGTTCAACAGATATACTTTAAGTACTTGTTCTGTGCCAGGTACTGTATAGTTATTGAGGGGTGGAAATGAAACTATACAGTCTATCCTCTAAGAATTCAGTCTGGTGAGGGAGAGATACAATTAAGTCAGTGTGCAACAAAATAAGGGCTATCAGGAAGGTATGTGTGCAGTGAAATCAGAGATAAGGAGTGCCTGCAGTCCTGGGTGAGCACGTGGTGAGTCAGAAAAACTGGCAAAGTGGACAGTTGAATCATGAAGGACGATTAGGTACTTTTCAAGCCATGAATATCTAAGAAAGACATTCTGGGACATAGACTCATCATATTACATTAATATAGAAATGCCAGTAGGAAGAGGAATGAGAGAATAGCCAGGTATAGGGTTTACAGGTAAGTTGATATTGTCAGAACATAATATTTACAAATCTGAAGAAGTAAGTGCTAGATTATTAAAATCACTGACTGCCACAAAAGTAGTTTAATTTAATTCTCATAAAATGTGGAGCTTTTCTAATACTCTGTGCAGATGTGACAGGTATCACAGCTATGCTGTGGAAAGATCTTTATAGCAGGAAGAATTGATAAGCAGGAAGGTCAGTGAAGATATCAGTGTAATAACTAGGTGAGAAATGGTAAAGACCTCTTAGGTTAAAAGTATGTAATTTTGCTGGCTAAATCTCAGAATTTGTGATTCTGCAAGTTTCAGAGAAGTTCAAGTTTTCCAGAACATGATCTGCATAAATAAATATCTATGCCTCTAGTTTAAAATAAGATACTTGCCCAAACATCAGCCACATATTGTGACAATAAAACCCATCCAAACTGACATGCTGCTTAGTATTTTGTAATGATGGTTCCATTTATTAACATTTATGAATTTGTTTTTCCCAGTAAATGTTCAGAACATTGCCTCTTCTACACATCACAAAAAACCTGATCTTGCAAGATGACCTTTCAGAATAACTTTTCATTCTTATGCAAATAAAGCATATTCTTATTTCTATTGTACATTTAATTCCAGAATAAAATAATGTCTCCAGATACCCTGTTTATGCCTACAGGACTCTTTAAGGAATATATTTCTTTTCTGCTCTTCAAATTCATAGTCTTTGTTTCCTATTATTAAATTCCAAGTACACAAAGATACTGTCTCCTGAGATAAATTTACTTAATGGGGGTTACAGTGTGTATTTGTGTTAATTGAAGCTTCAGAACTTGTATCTGATATGACCTGTGGTTGAGCTATTTCTACATAATTCTTGTGCATCATTTTTAAAAACCGATATTGTTCTATCTCAACTAGTTGTTTGAACTGGAATTTTTAATAAAATAGAAATGATCATACAATACCACGACAGTCGTATAAGCACTGAAATAGGCTTGCTGGACGAGTTCACATTTTAACATTAAGGAAATTGACAGTAATCTTTTGCAGACCAAAGCATTTTGTTTTCCACTTTCTAAAATTTATATATTTTTTGGATGTTTTATTTCTGTCTTGAATTCAAAACAGAAATAAAAAAATATTCAATTCAGTGCATGTATATGAGGATGACATTGTATTTTGATTTCCCTTCCCTTTGGTTTTACATGCATTGTCTTGTTAGCTTCACAGCGACCCCTAAAGGAGGATGCTTTGCTCCTATTTTATAGGTGGAAAAATGGTCTTGGAGGGCTAAAGAGCTGCCTGAGGTCATACTGCTCTTCAGCAGATTGCCAGGAGATAAACGGGTGCTCTGACTCAAAGTCCAGCACTTACTGCTTGTTGCCCTTGGCACTCACCACGGTCTGCTTGCCCACCTTTTGGCTGGTAGGGAATCTAAAGACCCAGTCAAACATGGTTGCTGCCCTTTGAGAAATAAAGCATTAGCAGGAGCTAGAAATTTGACTTTGCTTTTAAGTATGTAATAAAATGAATAGAGACAATGAGCTCAGAAATTCTTATTAACTAGTTTATAATAACACAGTAAATTCTACACTATGTAGTGTGTATTGTGCTTATTTTTCTGCTCTTTAAATATACATCTGACCGCAGTGCTTTTAAACTTGATAACTTGTGTAGAATGAAAACAGCTGTAAGAATTATCAAAATACTTTCTAATGAAGTAAATGTAAGTCAGTCAGTAAAGGACTGTCTTTGCAGGATAAGTTGTGAATATAAACAAATACATTAGAAAATATAAGAAAAGTAAGCATTCAAGTTTACAATTCTTAATTCCTCTCATTTTCATTTTCACACTGGTCACTTGATAATTTTGGCATGGATAAATTTGAAGCTCCATTGTTGGATGAATGTAACTTCAAAGTGTTAAAGGAATATTAAAAAACGACATTTTCATTTCCCGTGGGCAGTACTCATTATCCCTCAACTGTGTTCACCGAGCCTTTTATATTTGTTCAGTTTTAGACATCATGTTTGTAATTGTGTATGGGCAGCATCCATTAGTCTATTCTGACATATAAGCTATCTACCAAAATGGGTGAATTTTATTGAGATGAATCTGGAAGTTGACAGTCCTGAGTCCTGGTGAGATCTAATCTAGTTAGACAATTTTCTGAGGGTTCACAGAAAATGTTATTTCTTCAATATTATATATTGAAAGTTTTCATTTTTTGAGTTGCCAATTTGATTTTGTTTTTTATTTAAGGTGAACAGTATGGCACAAATGACTCACTGAACAGTTTTGCAGTGGAAGTAGAAGCAAGAGTCCACCTTAGTACCCAGCTAAGGGGCGGGGCACAGTGGGCTGGGTAGGTCATATAGATAACAGATAGTGGGCTTCAGGATCCAAGGACAGTTCGGTGCAGAGGGTGAGAGGATTCACCAGAGACAGAACAGGCAGAATGACTGAAATATGCTGCTGAGGGGAGCAATGCGTGGGTCAGGTGAGATCTGTGGCACCATGTGGGTCCCCTCCCCGGCGAGGAATCAAACTCTTGAGTTTCAGTGGCTGCAGATAGCTTCATAGTGCTGTGCTTTAATCTGCTACACCGCAAGGGAGAGCCCAGCACCAGAGTAATCTAAAAAAATGTCACATTTAGTGGTTTTGACCAAATAGGAAACAAGATACTTAGTCTGAATATCACTTTTTAATATGTTTTTTAAATACTTATTTATGCATACAGAACTGGGGTACAGGCCAGAGGTATAAGGGGCAATGAGAAGATTAACCAGAGACAGAGTGGGGAGCAGAACAGATTGAAGTTCACTGCTGAGGGGAGCAGCGGGTGGGTCAGGAGAGGTCTGCCACAACATGTGGGTCACCTCTGGGGTTGGAGATTGAATTCATGCTGAAGTGGCTTTAGCTTCTTAGTGCTGTGCTTTTAACCCGCTGCACCACGAGGGCCCTGACATCACTTTTAATAAATCTTATTAAAGTGTTCAAAGTGACAGGTAGTGTGTCTTGTATAATATGCACACATATATAACTCACACATACATAAATCTGCTGTATTTTTGTCCTTAGTTCAAACTAGAAAGTTAATTAACCAATAAAAGATATTTACATTTAAAATTAAAACTTAAAACAATATAGCATTAATTCTAATACATTATTGTTCTCTCAAAGAAAATTTCTCATTACTGAACAATTAGTTATCAGTGATAACTCCTTTTTTTTTTTTTTTTTAGAAAAACTAATAAGAACAGAAACTTTTTTTTTTTTTTTTACAACTGAACAGTTCTTTGGTAGTCTGTATGGTTAAGTGAGAAAATAGCCCCCCCTTGTGACCAAAAATCAGCTATTTGTGCTTAAGAGCGAACGTGAAGCAAACCTTAAGCAAGACTCCAGAAAGGAGGAAGCAGGAAAACAGGAAGGCTCTAGGTCTGATTTAGGATGGAAGAGAACAGTCTGTTCTATTTACCAGTCCTGGGAAACTCACCCTCTTCTTTTTCATTCATCAGTCACATCACAGTCTTCTCTTTTTCCCATCCTGCTTCCACAATCCCCCAGTCAGAGCTCTTCTGGAATAGAGCCACGTGCAGAACAGGCACCAAACTGATACTTGTTGAGTGAGTGGAGGGGGGTGACACAAAGAGACCTTAAATTGCAAAGAGGAGTAAGCTAGATAAGGAGAAGGAGGGTATTGGAAGTAGAGAGAACGTGTACAAAATCCAGGCAGTGTGAATTGTTGAGGAGACTCCAGGTGACTGACTGTGGCTGGAGGAAAGGTTGCATGATGAAAAGACTACACAGCTTCCATCTCTGGAATCTGCCAGTTTTGGTTTGAATCCTGGTTGCGTGTCTCACCAGCTCTATGTTTTTGTACGGTTATAAAACCTCTCTGCATCTTTCTCAGGGGGTGTTAGATTAAATTAATTATAATGTAAGAAGTACTTTGGAGCAGTGCATAATTCATAACAAGTACCTAATAATTGTGAACTCATTATTATGTGGGTACGTAGCAGGAGGTGGGGTGGGCAGGGCCAGGTCCCACAGTTTCCTATATAAAACAGAAGAAAAACTATACCAAAAGTTATAGAGAGTTTTAGAAGCCTTGCACAAACTGTGGAACTTTGAATTTTAGAAAGGTTATTCTCAGATGGGTTGGAGGGAACCAACCTGAAGACCAAGAGACCAGTGAGGAGGCAATTGCCGTGATCCAGAGGAAGAGAGAGGCCCAAACGGAGTCTATGCCAGGTGCATTGAAGAGGAGCGGGAAGGCCCAGTGAGAGTTAGCGGGTCAAATCCACAGTAGTCAACACTTATGTTAAATAGGGGTCCAAATCGCATTTGTCAGGTGGGACCAACTATGTGCCAAGGGTATAATTTACTGAGAATGGAAACACCAGGCAAGGGGAAGATTTAGAGGAAAATGGGGAGTTGAGTCTACTTTGTGTTGCCTTTGATTTTACATGTATTGAGTCTGATGCGAACAGCTACGTACCAATTTAAGTGGGAAATGTATAGGCCTAGTTCTTGAGGGAAGGATTGCAAGGCTTTGATAAGAATCTTAGCCAGTTGCTGAGAATTATTTATACTTCTTGACTGAATAACAGTAATTTTTGCTGGCTGTTTAAAATGCTAACTATATCTTCATTATAGAAAGTAAATTTTAAAAGATTAATTAAACCCCATGAAGTTCAAAGATTCTTTTGACAATGCAAGAACATTATCATTTATTGACAGACAGTGGTGGGTGAAACAAAATCAAAGACAAGCGAACCACTGAAATGACTAAATTTTGAGGGTTTTGTTCATTGAACATCTTCACAATGCCTACATATGGCTGGGACATATTATTTGAATGTATATATATGGGTATACCTGTCAATGTGTGTGTGTATGTGTATATGTAATATATTTTAGTTTTACACTTTTCAGACATTCAACAATGTTATTAAGCCTCTGCAATATTTTAACTTTCCTCCATAGGTATCTCTGATGAATATATAACACCTATGTTTAGTTTTTACAAAAGTGTTGGAGAACTAAAAATGACTCAAGAAGAGTATGCTCTGCTTACAGCAATTGTCATCTTCTCTCCAGGTAATTTCAGTGTTACATTTTTATCCCATTCCCATGCACACATTCCCACAGTGTGACAATAATCTTATTTATTAAAGAAAAATTAGAAAAACACAGAAGGTAGATGACCCCTCCACTCAAACTGAGCCATCATTCATATTTCAGTGTAGTTTTTCTCAGCTTTTCCCCTTACACCCACTGAAACTGATGTGTATGTGGGCCTTTGGGGCTATTGATTGGGAGGAGGATTTAGGGAAGCTTCTGGGCTTAGCAATCAGTGTACTATACCTGATCTAGTTGTGATTGCATGTGTACCAGTTTTCTGTGTATATTTGGGTGCAAAACAGATCACACTGAATACTTAATTTACATATTTTAAGTTTAAGTTTATACATTTTGTAAGTTCTATTTCCAGAAAGTTAGCACCATTCTAGTTACACCAAGTTAATGCTTTTCCATTTTTTGTCATGTTATATTTCAAAACAGACAGACAGTACATAAAAGATAGAGAAGCTGTGGAGAAGCTTCAGGAACCACTGCTTGATGTGCTACAAAAGTTGTGCAAGATTCATCAGCCTGAAAACCCTCAGCATTTTGCCTGTCTCCTGGGTCGCCTGACTGAGTTGCGGACGTTTAATCACCACCATGCAGAGATGTTGATGTCTTGGAGAGTGAATGACCACAAGTTTACCCCCCTTCTCTGTGAAATCTGGGATGTTCAATGAGGAGTGTCACAGAGCAGGGCCAGCACTTCACTTTCATTGTATAAATTTGATGTATAACTTTCCTTAGTTTCATTTGTACCTGGCTTCACAAAGGAATTTTCATGGATATTTATGTAGTAATTATATAACTGCCACAATTGTAAATAGGGGGCTAGCTAGAATTACTTTCTCTATATTTTATAAAGCTTTAGGGAATCTTTCACTTTAATTGGCATGCCCTGTTTGCCAAGGTAAATTGTTCTTTATTTCAGTTCCATTGAAGTTGGGAAATTTTCTCTCTTCATCTTACCTTATTATGTGTATTTTATTAAAGAATTGTGTTCGGTTTTGGTAATAAACCCAACATAAAGGCAACGGGCTTTTCTTTAGGAACACAATATGAAAAATATTCAAATTTGTGTTTCTTTAAATGGTGAATGACATCCTATTGAACCCAGGGGGATAATTTACAAAAAGTAAATTCTCACCATAAGTGTCACTTTTCTCATCCCTGGAGTAGCCTTGGTGAATTTACATTCATTTTTAAAAGCCCTAGATGATTTAATTTTCTTTGAAGTTCAAATAGAATAGCATATAGAAAAGTTAATGATTCTCACCATACAATATACCCTCGAGGAATCTCTTTTCCTAGTTAAGAGTATGGAGACTGCTCTACAGCAGCAGAGTATGTCTATAATTCCAGAGCTGAGATAGTCCCCCGTAAGGAGGGGGACTGTTCACTGTTGGCATCAGTGCTTATCATTCATCTTTAGTTGTTGTTCTGTTTCATTGGTGGTTTTGGTTTTGGTGATTTTTTTTGTTTGTTTTGTTTTGTTTTGTTTTTTGCTTTTGGAAAGCACTCCCACAGCTGGGGGCACAGCTGTTGTCTACTTCCCCAAAGCAGGAATTAGTTCATTTCCTTCTTTCATTGTTACACTGTTGTGTCCTTCTTCCCATTATCCTTTGGTGAATACAAGAAAACACCTTCTATAAGGAATGGGCTTTTATCTCCCTTGCCCTTGAAGTCAGCCAAAGTGGAGCTTGCTTAGCCTGCAAAGAAAGGGTTTTTGTATTAAAACAGTAGGACACCCCTGAAATCCTAAAAAAAAATATTACAGTAGGAAGAGGAGTGAGTTAGGCTAGCCTTAGTTGGATTCCATTTGCTGCAACAAGAATGTCCTAAATCCCCACTGAGTACAGGAAGTTTTTCTCTAGACTCCACAGGACATACAAAGTTGGTTAACATAGCAACTACCTGGCGGGACTTCAGAGAAGTGCCTAGGAGAAAATGTGGGCTCAGCTGGGAATTTTCAAGGAGAAGGTGACATCACATCCCCTCCCCTAGTTCAGAAGGAAAACAGGGACCTGTGAGGGATTCGAGGTGAAAGAGGAAGTGGTCTCAAAAGGAGGGATTGGCAGTGGTGCAAATGTTAAAGACCACATCTGGGAGAGAGAGGATGCACAAAGCCTTTGAAGAACTTAGTGCTACTACTGTAAATGAAAACATCAGTGCCTACCATCAAAGGGGATGTAGCTGATGAATGAGGAGCCAAGTGGGAAGCTGCAGACCTCCAGGGGAGGGGGGCAGTGAAAAAGGATGCCTAAAGCATAGAAGTGAAAGTCTGAGCCTGAAGGAGTAAATCAGTGTAGGGAACTGAGTGTGGTTTAGTCTCTTGGATGTTTCAGGATGGGGGATGTTTGCAGAGAAACCAACATTGGGATGAGAGGTTGAAACTTTCAGTACCACATGCAGCTTCCAGCATGCTGGTCAGTGTGCATCACCAATGGCCAATGATGTAGTCGTGTCTGTGGGATGCGACTTCTAATAAAGCCCTCTGCATGACAGGCTTTGGAGAGCTTCTGGGTGTACAGGTCAGCGGCTGGCATGCCCAGAGCAGGCATGAAGCCACATGCCCTTCCCCACCTGTGCTCCATCCATAGTTTGCCCTGTGCCATTTGCATGGGCTGTTCCTCAGTTGTGTTCTGTAAAGTGAACTGACAGTAGTGGTAAACTGGTTTGGGGTTGTTTGTTTTGTGAGTTCTATGAGCCATACCCACAAATTACTGATGTTGAAGAGAGGGTGATGGAAACTCCCCTGCAATCATCAGTTGATCAGTAGAGGCCACAGCCTCTACTTTGGGCTCAGAGAATCTTTGAGACTAAGCCCCTAACTTTAGGTCTGCATGAACTCCAGGTAGTTAGTGTCAGAAGTGAACTGAAGACTTCAGCTGGTATCAGAACTGGTGTGTGTGTGTGTGTGTGTGTGTGTGTAGAAAACCCCATGTATTTGGTGCTAAGCTTGAGTATAATCAACTCACTAATGGGTCTTTTTTTTTTTCCATAATTTTTGTAAGATTTTTAACAAAAAGCCAAAGAATAAGGGAAAGGGTAAAAGCATAGTAAATACTTTTTTTTTTTTTTTTTAAGATTTATTTGTGCAGGCCAGAGGCTCAGGGGCGGTGAGAGGCTTCACCAGAGATAGAGTGGGGAACAGAACAGGCAGATCGACGAAGTATACTGCTGAGGGGAGCAGCGGGCGGGTCAGGAGAGGTCTGCCACGCCATGTGGTCACCTCCGGGGCAGGCGGGAATCGAATACATGTGGAAGTGACTTTAGATTCTCAGTGCTGTGCTTTAACCCGCTGCGCCACCAGGGAGGGCCGTAAATACTTTTTATTGGACATCATATCTATAAATAAAATGGCAGAATCAGGCATTAAGGTCATAAAATGCACAACATTAAGGGGAATATCACAGAAGAGGATCTGCAAGTGCTTGGCTTGTGACCCTGGGAAAACTTATTAACACTGAAGCCTTTTTCAAATCTCTTTTAAAAAACCTTTTAAAACTCTCTAAACCTCAGTTTTCTCATATATACGATGTGGACAATATGCTATTTTACCACACAGGGTTGAGTGAGGATTAAACGTGTTTAAAAAATAAACAATAATTTGGTGACTCATGCCAATTTGGTGACTAAGGCCCCCATGGTAGCTATTACTACTACTACTACTATTATTAATAAAACTGTCATAAGCTGATATTGCTTGTGGTTTATTTCAAAATACCTTTTTAGCTTTGATGAAATGGAGTGATGGTAGTGAACAAAACAGGAATGGGTGCCTGATCTCATGCAATTTACAACCTAGTAAGTGAGAAAGAAATAAGTATATAAAAATATCAAAATATTAAAAGTAGATCTAGCACATAACCTAGCAATTCCATTCCTATTTACCTGAAGAAAGTAAACACTAACTTGAAGGGCCATCTTCAATCCTGTGTTCATTGCAGCACTATTTATAATAGCCAAGTTAGGGAAACAGTCTAAGTGCCTACATAAATCTCTGTCACAACCCTGCCAACATTTGTCCTTTTATTTCTTATTGATACGGGCCATTGTGTGATGCGGGATGGTCTCACTGTGGCACTTCCTGGATGATGGTGATAATGACCATTTTTCCAGGTGCCTATTGACCCTCTGTCTATCTTTGGGCAAGCGTCTATTTAGGCAAGCAACTATTTTTGAAGCTTTGAAAATAGTTGCTTGAACATCAGAAACTGACTTCATTAAATTACTTTAGTAAATGAACATGTATCACATTGGGGAGTTTGTTACTGTAGTGGGTAGCTGTTGTTTTTTTGGACACCCAAAATCTTTTCTTTGTGGTAAAAGTATTCTGTTTTCTCTTCTCATAGTCCTTGAGGATGGAGTTTATCCCACCCCCAGATTCAGAGTTGGAAATATGACATAGCCAGAGAGCCATAAATCATTGTACATCTTAAGTCAGCGATTGGTTTAGGGATAGATCTATGATCCAATTAGAGGAAATGAGATATTTTGCTTGGAACATTTTTAGGACGTAGTCAGTTCTAGTATTTACTTTTGTGCATTTTGTATTACTGTTCCCAATTCTTCCTACTCTCCCTATCATAAAATTATATGCCCAGGGCTTTTGCCTTTGTAGTACCCCTCACAAGAGTGGCAGAATATATGTCCTGGGCCACTGATGTTGGGCATGATCATGTGATTTGCCTTGCGCAATGTAATGTGGGTGGAAGAGAGTGTGACAGCTAAGGCTGTCTTTGAGAGACATCACATGCTTCTGTTTGCTGCTCTTGCACTTTGCTATCTGCCACGAGGAAAGCATGTCCTGGATAGTTTCAAATCCCAGAATGAGAACTAGAAGGAATAGACCTAAACCCAATTTACAGCTTGAAGCACTGCCCCCTCCCTTCCACAATGTGTTAACTTGCAGGTCCACAGCAAGAAAAACCAATGTTTGTTACTGTAAGCCACTAAGAGTTGAGAATTGTGATATAGCATTGTCACCACAAAAATTTAATGTATCTTATCTGTGTTCATATCAATCATCCCCGCCAGCCTCTGCACATATTAGCAGAGAGGCTAATCCTGCCTTTTATATGTTCCCCTGTGAGCTGGTTCAGGCAGGTTACATCAGTGGAAGGCACTACTGGAACATTGGAGGAGACAGAGGGAAAAGTCAGGGTATTTCTCCCCCACCCTCTGTGTCAATGATTACATCTCCTACTGGGAAAGTCCTAGCCCAGCACTGAAAGCTTCAGCTTCTAGACTCTCTTTTGAGTGAAATTAAATTAATTAAACTACTGAATGAGTAGTTTAATTGAATGAATTAAGATCTTTGTTGCCCAAAGATTCCATCCAGTACTTCAGAGAAGGCATAGTCTATGGATTGATGGTCAATAATGTCAAGACATCGAAAACAAAAAGTAGCAATTACAAAATGCAAAACAAAGCAACAAATAAACCAAATTGAGCAAAATAAATAAATAAATAAAAATCAACAACTATAAGCAATAGCATACTGTGGAAAAGCAAACCGTATCAATGTCCAAGGGTTATACGACTATGAGAGAGACTTCTGTATTCTGTGGAGTTGTGTAGTCAGACAAATGATTATTCCTAATGTAATAACATAAAGGCTTTAGATTTCCAAGCACTGTGCTTCCTTAAAGTGGGACATGTTTACAATTCTGGGAAGTTCAGAATAGAATAGACTTGGTCATCTGTTGAAAGCAAACTGGCGAGGCTTGCTCTGCATGTTACAACCATGCCAATTTCAAGTAAAGGGGACCCTCTAAAATATGGTTATTAACCTAACCACCAATTAGAAAATATCTACACATGAAAGTAGATTGTAGCTCATTAGGTGGAACCCTTAATTACTAATTATAGTGTTAAAATCAAGATAGGTAAGAGGGCTAGTACGCTTAGAGAGTGGGTACTAACTGGAGTTAATGAAATGTGAGGTTGAGGAAACAAAAAGGACTTTTTCTTTTTATACAGAAGGGAAAAGCAAACAAGAATCAAGAGAAGAACTCTTCACCAATTCCACACCTTTAACCAGTAAGGCATGTGGACTTACAAAGAATTGGCACAGATTTCCTGACAGAGTATACTTTCTACCAATCTTTATAAGCTAGAGGCATTTCCAAGACAAACCAAATGAAAATAGAAAAGGAAAAGTAATCTGCTGAAGTTTCTGTGAATGAGTTAGAACTATTAAATGCTGTGTATGTACATCACATAGCATAATTTCACTTTATAACAAGTAGAGTTCACTTGATACTCCACTTGATACCCAGCACTTCGCTGTCTAAAACAGAAACCAAAGAGTAACAACTAGTGATTCTTCAAATGAGACCTGTATAACACAACTGATCATAAGATTGTGTTGAGAAGCATACAACTTTTGATGTTAAGATTCAATAATCCTAATTTAAAGCTGTAACTTGACTCAAAATGTGTCTAAATGATTGGTATGGCAAACTGCTCTTAGTTTTAAATAGAAACATTAAAAAACATTGGCCCATTTGAACAATAGGTCCTCGGAAGACCAATCTAGTGAGTCATGGGCAGCAGGATGCTCTAGGATCTACTTCAGTTGATAAAAAGGAGCAACTACTAAAGATATTAGGGTCAACATTTTGATGACCATTGTCACCCATCCATCCACCCCAGAATGTAAGCTCTGGGAAAGCTAGACCCAACCTATGTGTAAGAGCTTAGTGCAGAGCCAGTGCCCAACATTTGTTGAATAGTCTCCACCAATCTTATGTGGACCACCCAATTTAAACAGCGTCAAATCTAACTTTCCAATTATCTCTGAACACTCATGGTGCTTCCACATCTCTGGAACCTTCTTGTTTCCTCTGCCTGGCAAACTCCTTGAGTCTCTTGGCAGATGTCTATTCATGCTTCAGAGCTCAGTTCCTTTCAACCCTCTTCCCTGCTCCCCCCTGCTGTTATGTGTTCCCTCTGCTAGGCCTCCAGACTTCCTCTTAGGCCCATGCTGCTGAGCTCATTGAACGCAGGGGTTGTTTTCTTCCTTTGATTCACTTCAGCAAGCAGCACTGCTGAACAGAAATAATATTTCTGTTGAGTGAGTGAAGAAATACATGTTAAAGAGAACCCATTTTTCCAGGTTATTCCAATCAATCGGCACACCTTACAGATGGGGAAACAGAGGCCCAGAGAGGTGATGTGATTTGCAAAAACTGGTGGAACTAGAAGGGCAGGGCCTGGGCCTCCTAGTTTTCAGCCCCTCCTGATTCCACCCCCTGACCCTACCACCTACCCCTTCATTAACAAATCACATCCACAGTTATCACTGGCCCGCCTATTTTTACATGCTCCAGTCTATTTTATCTCTGAGCTGGTAAGCAATCACTCCTTGTGTTGTGGTAATTTCCCCCACTTCCCCTGGCGCTTGTGTTTCCTGCAGGAAACATCAACATCCTCCTTTGTGGCCTGGGAGTACAGGATTCCTCTTGCTCCCTCACGCTAACCCCTCAGGGCAGGGCAGGGGCCCTCTCTGCAAGTTTCTGCTTAGAGCGCCCCTTCCTGCTGCGTGACCCTGTCTCCAAAACCCAAGGCTTTTTCGGATCAGTCCCCGAGGGATGTCAGAGTGGGGACCCGGCACTTTGCAGATCAGGACAAAACTGTTGGCAGCGCCTGGCAACATTCCAGGGTACCAAGAGGTGGTCCTACCAGGCCAGATGGGGAAATCCGAGAGAGGCCGTTGCTGTCCCTGACTGGCCCCAACGGGGCCTCTTTTCTGCCGTCAAGTCACTTTGCTTTTCAGTGAAAAGGGGGTCGGCTCCTGCAGTGGGGACTTGCAGCCCTGGCAGACGGGCGTTTCCAGCTGACAGCGAAGCGCGCGCTGGTCGCGTGCTCCCGCGGCCCGGGGCGTGGCCGGGGCGTGGCCGGAGACCACGCCCCCGGATTTTGATTGGTTCCTTCGAAACAGGCGGCGGTTAACTGCCGCGAGCCCCAAGGCCAAGGAGGCGGCGGCGGCGGCGGCAGCGGCCGGTCAGGGGCTTGACGGACCCGCACAGATTGGACCGAGATGTCGCCCCGCCGGGAGTAGTGACCCTCCAGCGCCCAGACTGGTTAGTACTTCCCTGTCTTCCCTGTTTGCCGACTCTTCGCGAACTTTTACGTGTCTCCTCTGGGCTGCGGCGCCTCGGAGAGTCCCCGGGCGCCGGAGAGTCCTGGCTCGAGGTTTCGTGTGTCCTCGAGCTGCGGGTCCGAGACGCGCCGCGATTGGCCCGCAGCGGCCGTCGCGGGCTCCGATTGGCTCCCGGGCGGGAGGTGAAGTCACGCGGGCGCTCGGCAGCCCACCGTGGGGCAGTGGAGTGGCCGCGGGGGGCGGGGGCGGCAGGTGCCTGCGCGTGGGGCTCCGGAGGCGGCGGCGAGGAGGCAGCGATGTTTGTTCACCCATCCACACCCCTCCATTTGGAGGGCTGCGCGGTGGAGGCCGGGGGGCCGCCCTGGGAGCCGAAGTAAAGTTCTGGAGGCTGTTCCCCAGGCAGTCACCCCTCGTTCCTAGAGAATCTAGGTTGAATCAGACCAAGAAATCGTGCGCAAGTGGGGTGCTTTGCGCAGACTCGGGCCAGCTAGGTGGAAGTTTGGTTGTTGCTGGGTGGTGTGGACAGCGCTAGCAGCTGCCCTCTGATCGCCTCTTGTGGCACGTCCATGACTAGAAATCGCAGTTCTCCACACTTTCAGGCTCCGTTTGGGGAGGAGATTGCGGTTGGTTTGAAAGAAAACGTGGAAACTGGCGAGAATTGTCTGGCGTAGATCCTGATTCATGTTGTCTGACTCACTTGTTTCAAAAATTCATGGAGAACCAGTGGACTTTGAATAGTAGGCGTCTCCGCTATTTTTACATCACTGAACTAGACGTTTCATTTCTTTTTTGGTGTAGAGTTGCTGTCATGTAAGCTTTGGAATCAGACTAAGCTGGGGTGTGGCCCCAGGCAAGGTTTTAAAGTGCCGAACCCTGTACTTTCTGATCTGTACAGAAGGCGAGTGATAGTATCTATTTTATTGACACCAGGGTTGTGGTAAGGTTTAAACGTGAAATAATCCATATAACTAGTGTAGTACAGTGCCCGACGCATAGCTTTCTGTCTGGATTCAGATTTGAACGATCCCCACCGGTGGAAAGTGAAGGCAGTGCCGATGGTAGTTATCATTCATTAAGCTAATGCATGTACAACACTGAAAACAGTGTCTGACACATACTAAATACACAAATGCAGCTTTACCTAGTGGGGCCAGGTACAGTATTCTAGATGCTTATCTTACTGTCAGACTGCTGTTTTTACTCCTGGAAGACAGTTTGTCTTATTTCCTTTGTATAGGTGAGGCAGCTAAAACTCAGAGAGAATTCCTGACTTAGCTCTACCCGGAATTCAGCCCATAGATCACATTTCATCATCCATTCACCTTTTGTCTCACTACCGTTGCGTTTATATTCCTAGCATAAGCTCTGAATAGAGTTGTTTGTATGACCCAGATTTATTTCTGCCATGTTATGGGTTTAAGTATAGATCATAAAACAATGAGAAATAAATTGTGGTGGTAAGCCAAAGTGTGTGATGCGAGAATGTTGTCAATAATGTGTATGTTATTAGTAAAACTAAGTCCAGTGATGTTTGCAGAATCGGTCAGCTCAGAAATAATGCTTCCTAATTTGTATTTTTTCTCTTTAGGTTTTGCTTACTCATTATTCTGTTTTGTCCGGTAAATCTCAATTTAAGCTTGGCGATAAGCGCAGAAGTTTCGTTTATTTCAAATGTTTTATCCTGAAGGTAATGGGACCCACTAGGGTTTAAGTGTACTGGGTCCTCACATTATAGTGTGTGAATGGTCATAGGGGCTGCAGTACGTGAAAAGCAGTTCCGACACTGGAGAAATGGTGACAGGTTGAGGCTGTTTCAGTAAGCTCGAAGAAAGAGAGTGATTTGAAGTAGTCCAGTGACTTGAGAGTAGTACCTACGGGTGAAAAGAAAATTTGTAGGTAGAAGTTAACAAGAGGTGGTCATTGATTATTTTGACTGAGCTGAGATAGGAACCTGGGGAGGAGGTAGAGGTAAAAGGAAGGAAGGAATCAAGGATTTCCTGATAGCATGGGGAATCTTGGTGCCTTTCCCTACAATAGTAAATACAGGCCTTCCCTACAATAGTAAATTACAGCCTTTGTAAATATGTATGAGTGAATGAATGAATAAATGATCACAGATACACAAAGGCAAGCCATTTGATGCTGGAAGTGATAATGATAACAATCACCACTGCACAAAGTTTGTATTTGCACTTTTTTTTTAAAGAATACTATAAAACAGTTAAAACTTTTCCTCATTTCTTCAACATGTTATTCTTGCTCCATCTTCCAGTCATGTTTTGGATACAATTTGCTTTCTCTCAGTCAGTGTCCTAACCCTCTAGGCAAACCCTCCTTTTCAGTAAAGATGTGTATTAGTTTCCCATTACTGCTAGAATAAATGACTACAGTGGTTTAAAACAATACACACTTAATTATCTTACCACTTGGAAGTTAAAAAAACAAACCCTGAAATGAGCTAAACTTAAAGAGATATAGGTAGGGTTCCATTCCTCCTGGAGCTCTACGGGATCATCCATTTCTCTAGCTTTCTCTGCTTCTAGAAGGCACCTGCATTGCTTGATTCCTTCTATCTTCAAAGCCAGCAGCCTAAAAACTCATACATTAGTTTCTTTCTCCCTTCTTTCTACCCTTCTCTACTTCTCTTCCTCTTCCTCTCCTTCCATTTTGATATCTCTTTTTCTTTCTGCTTCTTTCTCATATGGCTGACTCTGATCTTTCTGCATCCCCATATGAGAACTCATATCATTACATTGGCTCTACGAGATAATCTCCATTTAGGTGTCAATAATTCCTTACTCTGCAAGGGCCGCAAAGGTAGCATTTTCACAGGTTCTCGAGATTAGGATGTAGAAATCTTTTGGAGATCATTATTTTGTTTACCAAAATAGATTTAAGATGTAATAAAAATATGCGGTCCACTGGGGCAGCCCTGTGAATTCCTACTTGGCCCAGCTGTTCTGTTTTGCCCATTTCGACCCTCTGCCTACATACCAGTCATTTTTTCCCTTAGTTATTCCTCTTATATATCAGGTACCTCACTTACTCTGCTGGTAGTTTCATAGTAATCTACATATGTTTGGCTTGTTCTTCTTGGGTAAGAGGCCAACTTATTAATTCAGGTCACATCATAAAAATAATAAATAACAATGGCAACAACAACAGACTCAAAGAACTCCTGTCAGACATTTGCCTACTGTGTGTCTGTTTCCAAGGTTGGCTGCCACATTTCCTCTACAGCAGAATCACTCTGGAGAAGAGACAACTCAGTTTTCTTGAAGATTTTGTCATTTTTCTCATCAGATTTGTTTTCTAAACTTTGTTTGAATACATCTGTCAGCATTATTTCCAAATGCAATACAGGAACTTTTACTTGGTCAAACAACAGAAACAATTAAAAACAGGGTATCCTATATAGAAAATGATTGGGAGAAATGCTATGTGAGTTTGATAACTAGAAAGATAGTGCTATGTGATAACTAGAGAGATTATCAAGTACATGGTGACTAATTCATACTGTTTTATCTACTTGAAAGTTCCTAAGAGAATATATCTTAAGAGTTCTTATCACAGGGAAAAAGGTGTAGCTTTCCAGTATGGTGGATGTTAACTAGCTTATTGTATTAACTGGCATTTTGCAATATATACAAATGTATTATTCTGTTATACCTGAAACCTTCAGAGTGTCAGTTCCATTACAATGAAAAAGGATCTAGTCAATCAATTTTGTCCAATCAGGAAAGGGCTACTGGGAAAAGATAAATCCAAAAAGTGTAAGCCTAGACTGATTGAGATAGTGAGGAATTTCTTCAGTTATTCCTTCTCTTCTATCCTGATTTCCTCTCATGTCTAAATGTTACATTTTCATAGAACTTGCTCTTAGATTCTAATCACTTCTCCATTTTCTTGTCAGATGACCTCATTCTTTCCAGTGGCTTTACTTCTCAAGTATTTGCTGACAATTTCTATCTCCTCCTGAACTTTAAGATTAGTATTTCCAATTGCCTTCCTGACATTTCCACATCACTTTTCACCTACCTTTGCTGTCTTTCTCTGCTTCAGTCTGTTCAGACTCAAATTTATCTCACGAAGTGCTACCACTATCTGTTTGCTCAGTAGCACAAGTCTACTAGGAGTCATTCTGGACACGTCCTCTGCCCTTATATCCCTTTCCTTCACAAATCCTCCATCTCTAAACATTATGAAGTCTTGATTCTAAATACAAAATAGATATTGTATCTGTCCACTTTTCTCCACTGGAGACATTGTTAGCATTCTAGCTCAGTTACCATCATTTGTCACTGGCCTCTGGCAGTAGATTCTTAACTCTTCCCTTTCCTGCCTGTTTTTCACATCATTTTCTATATGCCTTGTTTTTGTTGTTCTCATTGTTTCTACCTGCCTGTATCCTATCTTCTCTCTCTCTCTCTCTCATTTTCCCTACTAATTCTCCCCCCCATTTCCTTCTTTGATAAACCCATCATTATTTCATTCCTCTGTTTCTCCTTACAGCTATTTTAAAATGATGAATTAAGTTATGCCACTCCTTTGACATAAAACTTTCCTCATTGTATTTAGAATAAAAATCTACTTTCCTTAACTTGCTGCTAATGAGTAATAGGACCACTGCCTAACTCTTTTACCCCATATTCTTCTTGCTTCAGCCATACTCACTTATTTCAGTCTTGGAATGTGCCAAACACTTTCACTATTTAGGCTATGCAAAAATTATTCTCTATGTATGGAAGAACTCTATCTTCTCTCCTTCCCTGGCCAGTTTCTACTACTAGTCGTCATTTTTTTTTTTTTTTCCTCCAGCATTCATTTCCAATCACTTAATTTGAGTCTGAAGGACACTCCTGATGTTTCTTTTATTTTTTTCTTCAAAACAATAATGATTTACCATTGCATGTTCATTTGTGTATTTAACTCTTTTCAGTCTTCCCAACTGGTGTACTAGCTCCAATAGAGCACACAGGTGTTCTGTCAGTCACTTTGTCTCTTGCCTATAGTCCTTCGTTTGGTAAAGGATGTGAATAAGTGTTTGTTGAAAAAGTGAATGTGTGCATGCTACCTGAGAAGCTTATTACCTAAACAATGAAGTAGCCACAGAAATGAGCAAAACTGATAGGGATGAGAAGACAGATTGAGTGGGGCAAAAGGTGTGCGTTAGGTGGAGTCCTGAAGACTTTTATTGTAGCAAAGAGAATATTTAAGTCACAAATTCATATCTGAATATTTTCCCAATTGTGACGTGGGCATTTTAAAGCTTTTATTTTTACCTTATAGATTATTATTATTATTATTATTAAAGATTTTATTTATTTATGCTTACAGAACTGGGTTACAGGCCAGAAGTGCAGGGGCTGTGAGAGGATTCTCCAGAGACAGAGAGGGAAGCAGAACGGGCAGATTGACAAAGTACACTGCTGAGGGGAGCAGCAGGTGGGTCAGAAGAGGTCTGCTGCGCCATGTGGGTCAGCTCCCTGGCTGAGATCAAACTGGTGCTCCAGTGGCTTCAGAGAGTTTCAGGTGATTTAACCTGTTGTGCCACCAGGAAGAGCCCTATTTTCAACTTATAGCCATATTATTTTTCTTAGTAAAAGAAACTTTCCAAATTATGTTCAATGGCTTGAGTACTATTAACCTTGTTTCCTTATCTTTTTTAATTTGATTAATTATATTAAAGAACTAATTATATCACATTATTAATCATAACAACTCTTGTTAAATACTAACAATGTATCAGGTACTTTATATGTATCATCTTACTTAATCTTTACATCAATCAAAGGGCATAAGGGAGCTGGTGGTATACTACTTTACAGATGAGAACTCTGACATTCAGATAAGTTAACTGGAATTTAAAGCAGATGTGTCTGCAGATGTGCAATTTTTATTAGTATCATTGTGCCAGGTGATTTTAGTACTGATGTAAAAATTGAAATGAGTTGGGTATAGACTTAACATTTCTGTTTCCCTTTTAGGCAACTAGGGTCTTCAAAATTTTAAAATAGAATAAATTTTTAGTGAACAAATCAGAAAGGAGGTCTTCAACTGTTTTTCTAAATAAAAAACAATGAAATGAATTTTGACATGTAGAAAGGCATGAGACTAGCATAATAACACCTGTGTTCTAGCCACTTATCATGAAAGAAAAAACATAACAGCACAGTTGAAAGCCTCTGTGCATTCCTTCCCAGTCTCATCTTTCTCCTGCTCCTCTGTAGTAGCCACTGTACATACTTTGGCATTTATCATATTTCTGCAGTTTGTGTAACTTACCATTCATCTGGTGGCTCAGTGCTAAATGTATATGTGATGGTGTGCAGTTCATACTGTTTTTCTGGAGAAACTTAGCTTATTTCTTCACCTTTTTAAAACATTCTTTTCAAAATTTACCTTTTAGTAATACCAAAGTACTAATCAATGCTAATCAAAGTACTAATAGTGTGGCTGAGCATGTCACACTATTCTCTTCCCACCAGGGCTTATAATGTGGTTGAGAAATAAAACTGTCCTCAGTTTTCAGGGTTATAGCTGTAGAACTGAAATGCCAGCAGGTATGGTTGACATTTCTTTCATCGTGATCTGAAATCAAATTGATATGAAGAATCTTGTCACAGATAATCTCGTAGATCTTATAACTGAAATATTCTTAAAAGAGTGAGTTATTAGACCCAAATCCTGTTTATGTTTCAGGTGGAGGAGAAATCTTCTGACTTTCTAACATTTTCCCTAGACTTTAAAAGTTAAAGTTATATTTTTCACTTGTAATGTCTGTTTAAGCTCTTTGTCTACTGAAATATTCTTAGCACAATTAAAATATAAGTTGGACTTGGTGCTGAGATGCCTATTTTGGACTAAATCTAAATGGAAAGACTTCCCTTAAAGTAGCAAATAATTGAAATAGACTTTTCCAAAGAGACCACAAAGCAAAGACAAAACTAAAATAAAGCGACTATGTTTCTGATCAAGATGCAGCTCCAAGGCCGAGGTGTTGATGGGCTATATGAAAGAATTAGGGACACTTAGGGATAGATTAAAAAAAAAGAAAATAGTCAAATGAATAAGAAACAAAATTGTGAGTGTGATGCAGATTGGGTACTAGAGCTACCTGTGACAAAGAAGCTCTAAATGCCTGAGACATAAAAATGTTTTAAAAAAAAGAAGTGGTGAATAATATTTGGGACATAATGAGTATTCATTAATTGATGAATTATTGATATATTCTCATTAGCTTATAAGTTTTTTTTCAATGAAAGCATATATTTTGTGTACATGGTAGCCTTTCATATGAGGACAAATTATAACTCAGCTTAGTATTATTGTATTAAAGAATTTCTTTTTCAAGGCAATCTGGATGATTATATTTTGTCATCTTAAAAGTAGTTCTTCCCATTACAAGAGAATAATAATTACTATATGTATCCACATACATAAAATATTCTGCTGAAATTCAACTGAGTGAAGGTTGTGCACAAATTCTTCATTTCTTTCATAAAACTAGTTTTGTTGAATTTTCCATTAAAAAGTGCAACTACTAAACATTTTTGTGATAGCTTCTTTGTGAATATGTCACTGTTCTTGATTTGCACACGCCTTATAATTTAGGCCTTCTTTTGTTTTGGGTTGGCAGTTCCAACTGTTAAGGCTCTTGTCTGATTATGTGGGACTCCTTATTTTAATGGGACCAGCTTCTTTGCTGCATTTTTAAAAAATGGTCTTGGAAGCTTCTTACTGTGGATCTTTGTTGGGCACAAAAGGTTATTTATGCTAAAGGAAAATGTATTCCCTGCTGGATTTGCTCGTGGGAAGCATAACAAGCTCATTAGTAATGCTCAATTGTACTTTGGCCTTTTGCTATGGTAGAAAGAAGGAAAAATGACATCAAAAGGGACATTCTGCTGTTCTTTGCCTGCCGGTAAAAGTATATGATGTAATATTAGACTTTTCCATTAGTTTTTAGATCAAGTTCAACTTTAGTACTAGGAAGAGAAATGTTTCCGAAAGTAAAGTTGTATGTGTTGCTGGCACTTGTGCACAAGGTATGTTTGTGCTTAGAAGGGAAAATAACATTTCCTTGGAAATTGATTATAGCCTTAGAAACTATTTTACATTTATTTTTCCTTAGAGTTAGTTTTAATGGTGATTTACAATAAAAAAGCAGACTAATATATATTGCAGCCATAAGCAATTAAATGTAGGCTTTATGCAGTTTATATTATTCGGGACATTTTAGACTCTTCACTTTCCAAATGTATTGAAGAATGCATTGAAGAATTATACTAATCTAACTTAACAAAAGTTGTAATTTTTTTTCTAATAGATGGCAAGAATGGTAGTAGTTTGGAGTTAAGTAGCTTGGAGTTTAGATTTCTTTTTTGTTTGGAACTAAACTCACATAAAAATTATAGAAGGGCATTGAGTATTGTTTCATAGTTAAAACTGATGTTTACCTTTATTACCTTTTCATCAGGCAAGTTGCTTATCCCACATTATGCTTAGGAATTTATACAAAGTTCAAATGAATTTATATGAACTCCATGTAAAGATCAGATACTTGACTTTCAGTCTTAGTTGTTGTCATATTTGTAATTACATATGTTTATAGAGGGAAATTCTGGGAGATTTTTATATGCGCTAAGTTTTATGCTTTTTTATATAGTCAGGTGCTTCGACAATTACTTTAATCTTAGTGTCAGAAACTACATAAAGTGTATTTTAAGTTTTCCAGTTTCAAATCGGCAGTATTTTTATGAAGTAAGAAGCCTGGAGTGATTATTGAAGTCTTTTACTGTCAAATTGTTTCAACTAGAAGAGAAATTAGATTTATAAGTTGTGGGGTTGGAAGAGTTGGAGAGATACCGCTATCTGCATATTAATGTTTTCTTCTATTTTCAGAAAAGCAGTTTTATTTCAATATAGATGACCATGCAGCCTGCAATTCAGGTGAGTATTTTTCTTGGAAAAAAAAATTTAAATTATGACATTCATTTCATAAAATTAGAAGATTTAGTAAATTATTAATATTATTATAGTATGTTTTTATTGTACTAGTTTTCTTAAGCATCAAAATCTAGTAACAGAAATACTGTTTTTTGATTTTCTGTTTTCAAACCTAATCTTTTATTTGTACTGAATCTAAGCGCTGAACATACCTGAAAGTTGGTGGTTTCATTTTCTCTCTGTTACCCTGGGGAAAGACTGAAGTACTTTGTAGGTATTCACATTACAATTTGACAACAATTATTGGCTTTTTTGTAGTTAGAAGAGCTTTCAGTGAAAGCAAATATAAGTTTTTTTTCTTTTTTTATCTCAGATAATTATGTATGTACCCCATAATGCCTCTGAAGGCAGGAGGCACCCAATGGAATGTGGTAAGGATGGGTAGGTGGGATTTTGCAGTGGTCATGGTGTTAGAACATACCTTTGTAGAGGGTTAAACTTATAATCCCTAAAATAAATGCAGTGTTGGAAATAACTCAATAAACAGTTGGAAAAAAATCTGAAAAGTAGTTCTGTTTTTTGGTGAGGATGATGAGAAAAACTAGAAAACTCTTATATTTGAATGACCAGAGTTAGTATTTGCTGTGTTGTCCTTTTAAGGTTTTTTTTTTTTTTATGTAAGTAAATATTAATTTAAAGATAAAAATCAGGTAGAAGGAAGGACATCATAAAATTTGTGCTGGAAACTGAGACCCTTAGGTTCAGTGAGATTTATTTTTTGCTTATTCTCATTCTGCTAGTCATATTCTCACAAGGTAATTTGCTTCTTTGTCTTTGTTCCTCATCTCCAAAGTGAGGATAATTATGTTCATTTTGCAGGGTATTTGTAAGGGTTCAATGAGATAAGAACCTGTGAAGGAACTATTTGAATGGATATTGCATAGTAGATTCTTCAGAAGTTTTGCTGTATCTTTGGTACAACAACCTTATTCAGATTTAAAGTCTAAAACTGAAGATTATACCTGTATCATGAAAGTAATTTCTTTTTATTAAGAAAGAAGGCCTATTAAGATAATAGTGGTTGATAACCTACAGAAGAGAATTTGCTTATGAAATGGTTAAGAAATATAATTCTGCTTATACTTCCTCTTGTGCTGTGCAACTGTGCCCTTCTACCCTGCTGATATATAGTCCTGCCACTCTGTTTTCCTTTCGGGACTTGGAAGTGCCTGGCAGTCTTCCAAAAGCTTCTTTTTCCCTGTGAGTTCTCCAAAGCTACCTTTATTACGTGCAGAACGTCTTTATGTTCAAAACCATTTTTTAAAGTATCATTACTTCTTGGTACTTGTTAGAGTGCTTATCACTGTCACATTGATATTTTTCTCACTTCTGCGTTAATGACCATTAACATTTTCTTAACCTGGTGATTGTTTTCACAGTTTTATCTTATAGTCCATGAAATCTTGGCTGATCTAGATTCCAGATATCATCTTAAATGATTCTCTCTGCTCTTGAATTTCTCATGCTTTTTTTCCCTGATAAATCTAAGAACTTTATAGGATTTTCACCTATTTCCCTTCTGTTGGACTGTTACTTATTCATAAGTGTGTTACAGAGAGGAGAGACCTTCCCCAAGTAAATAGCTGTTATCAATTGGTTTCTTATTAATTGAATACTTCCTCATCCCTGCCTTTTATGCCCTTAATTCTGATCAGTAAAAGAGTTCCTTAACTTGTTTTGGGCCACAGTCCCCTATGATAATCTAACAAAATCCGTGAGCGCTCTCTGAGAACCGACCTATTTGTACAAAGGCATAACATTTTTCCTAATTATAAATAGGTTTATGTACTTATTCAAGTTTGTCTATAGATTAGCTAGAGATTGAGAATATCTATTACAACATTTAGCATGTTTGTAAACAACCATGGTATATATTTTTGTTGTCATCATCTAACCTTTAATGACATTAATATGATACTAACTGTCCCAGATTATTATAGATCTTCTGTTTGTGATAATAGGAAAATCCAAATATTCTCCACAATTTAGCAAGGAGTTAGAATGACGTTTGTTAGTGTTAAGGTCTCTATTTTCGCACATGATTTTTTGGTCAAAATCACTCTCCTAGACCCTCCCTGGTGGCACCTCAGGTTAAAGCACAGCACTATGAAGCTGTCTATAGCCACTGCAACACGAGTTCAATCCTGGACCAGGGAGGTGACCCACATGGTGTGGCAAACCTCTCCTGACTCGCCCTCTGCTCCCTTCAGCAGTGTATTCCAGTACATCCTCCTGTTCTGTTCCTTACTCTGTCTCTTGTGAATCCTCTCACCCCCTGTATTCTGACCTGAACCCCAATTCTGTATACATAAGTAAATAAATTTTTTTTAAAAAAAATTCACCCTCCTAACTCTTCTTGACAAACATTTACATCATTTCCTTTTTTTCAACTTTGTCAAATAACATTCTATTGACTGTAAAATGCCATTGATTGTAAGGTGCCTCTTGATTTTGATGGAACTGAGTCATTTATTGATCTTAGTTTTCAATTATTCAGCAGATATTTTTGACTGAATATTTTGTGCTAAGCATTATGTTGAATACTGGGACTATAAACAGAAGTAAGATGCTTATGAAGGGAAGATTTAGATAGCAAACATTTACTATCTTGCCTTCAAAATAATGTAAGCTTTCTCCCCCCCCCCAAAAACTTAGAGGTTCTTGTTACATTCAATTCATTGCCTAATCCCTACTATGAATTCCTGAAATAATGTCCTTCAAACAATTTGTGTATCTTTGTCTTTGGGCTTTTTACTGAATGTTGCTACTCCTGCTTGCCACTGTATGTGTTAACTTTCTTTGCCATTGGGGTTATTTTTAAGCAGTTTTTCTTTTTATCATCATAGGAAATTAGGAACTTACTCCCTCCCCCTGTCCCTGTCACTCCTGCCAAAGTTTGTCTGGATGAGCTCTAGTGTTAATGGTTTTTGATTTGATACAGTAATGTTAATAGACTGAGGAGCGCCGCAAATCCCTAAACTTGCACACTATAAATTGGTTCTGCATCTGCTGTATAAAGGATGATTCTGAATTGCACCTTGTCACAGCTGGCAGTACTTGAATGTGGCCTAAGTATTAGATGGTCATGAGAAACCTGGCTTCCTTACGATAAATCCCCGTATGTATAATCAATCTCTTTGTTGCTTCCACTCCTTCCCTGAATTGATGCACTTTTAACAAGTTCATATCCATTTACTTAGTGGGTGTTTTCTCCAGGTATGGTTTGGAGAAGACCTACCTTTAAGTCCACGGAGTCCTCTGACCCCCCGACATGGCCCAGGTTTGGCTGATGTTTGTCAGTATGATGAATGGATAGCTGTGAGGCATGAGGCTACCCTGTTGCCTATGCAAGAAGATCTGTCAATTTGGTTATCTGGCTTATTAGGTAAGCCTTGGATATATCAAAAGTTGTATTCTCTTATTCAGTAAATATTTAATTGAAAACCTTACTCTATTCTAATTAGCAAAAGCATCTAATGTTCTTGTTCTCATGGGTTTTCATTCTGTTGGCTGTCGGAAAAGTCATGATGTGTTTTTTTCTATGTTCTCTATGCAAAAATGTGTTGAGGAAATATTGTGATTCACCTTGACCCTTACAGCTTGAAGATCAGTAAGGAAATTGGAGGTTTAAGGGAAGTGCCAAACTTCCCTTTGAAGAAACTTTGAAGAATCAACACATTTATCATTGTTAATGTCTTTAAAAATAATAGGTCTGATATTGGAAGCTACAATTTACCAATAGCTCCATCCCCTTAGTCTTGCATGAGGATGTCATGAAGTTTTGAACAGAATATATAATAGTAAAAATGATTAGTTTCTGAGACATAGAGGGGTAGAGGCATATAAAACCTAAAGGGAAGTGTTAGGTCATAAGTTTATTATCACATTACTTTACTCAGAGAATATGTGAGTAGTCTGAATCTTGTCCCTAGAATTTTTTTAAATAACAGAATTTCATGTAACATTTGTAAAGTTTTCATGAAAAGAAATATATAAAGCTCACATGTGACCTTCCCAAGATAATTAAAAACACAACAACCATTCTAGCTATTTGATAGCAGTTTAATGACCTGAATAATTTTTAGAAGCCTATTATATAATACTAATTCTTCTAAAGAAGGTGTTCTAGAGGTGAAAAGCTCTGTGATCATTATTGTCTTTAATTTTTCAATTGCAAGTCTTTGTTATTAATAATCATTTTTCTTGTATAAGCAATAGTAATATGAAATGAATCAAAACCTAGCAGTGCATAATAATATATAAAATACTTTGGGAGCCTCTCTGTTAGTGCAGGAATTAAAGTCTCACCTCTCTTAAGCTACCGCCAGCCACTGCGGCATGAGTTCGATCCCCGGCCGGGTCGCTGACCCACATGGCGCAGGAGACCGCTCCTCTCTCCCCCGCTGCTTCCCTCAGCAGTGTATCTCAGTAGATCCTCCTGTTCTATTCCCCACTCTGTCTCTGCTAAATCCTCTCACTAGTGCCCTGCATCTGCACCTCTGGCCCACATCACAGTCCTTGTATGTATAATAATAAAATAAAATATATAAATCTTTATAAATAATAATAAAACAAAATATAAAACATGTTGACCTTCACTCTGCCCTGTGCAGATGTGCAAAAATGTATCACATTTTTGTCTCACTTCTCTTTTATTTAATTTGATTTGTTATTTGCTGTCATTAGTGTCTTCCTAGAGTGAATACTTGGAGTCTAATCTAGTATTTTTATAGCATTTCAATTATTATCTGATTATATAATTAAATTTTAACCATGTTGTTTGTATTTGCTATTTCTAGAAGAATTTTAACTTTGAAATATGTTTTACTGTTGAAGGTATTGATGTTAAAGCAGAAAGGTTATTAGAAGAACTTGATAATGGAGTACTATTATGCCAACTGATTGATGTTCTTCAAAACATGGTTAAAACATGCAACTCTGAAGAGCCAGGGGTAAGTAAACATTTGACAGTCGCGATTTTATATCTTGTTATGTATTAATCTACTTATATACATTTCTTGTAATCTCTACAACATGGTAAACTTCTACCCCAACTATCTATTGGGCTGTCAGAAAAGTCATGATGTATTTTTTTCTATGTTTTCAAGCAAAAATGTGTCGTGACTTTTCTGACAATCCACTACAAGACTTTAAGACCTTGAATAATTTTTTTTTAAGATTTATTTATTTATTCATACAAAACTGGGGTACAGGCCAGAGA